CAGGTGATGGCTGACCTTGGATGTGCCAACAGCAATCAAGGCTCAACTACAACAAGAGGGTGTACACAGCACACCTCAAGTGGGCGCACCACAAGTATCCAACTTGGATAATAGGGGAGGCTGTGCCACTGGACCCTACAGGACACCTACTACCTTAGGCCACTCTACCAAGCTTAGGAGATGTAGAAGCTCTACCAAATATTAATACATAGAAACAAATGCAAGGAGGCTGCCAAAATGAGGAGACAAAGAAACATGGCCCAAATGAAAGAACAGAACAAAACTCCAGAAATAGAACTAAACAAAACGGAGACAAGCAAGCTACTAGATGCAGAGTTCGAAACACTGGTTATAAGGATGCTCAAGGAACTTAGTGAGGACCTCAACAACATAAAAAAGATCCAGTCAGAAATGAAGGATACTTTAATTAAAGAACAATTTATAGGGAACCAACAGTAGAACGGATGAAGCTGACAATCAAATCAGCAATTTGAAATATAAGGAAGCAATGAACAATCAAAACAGCAAGGAAAAAGAATCCAAAAAAAAATGATGATATTGTAAAGAAGCCTCTGAAACAACTTCAAGCGTACCAACATTTGCATCATGGGGGTGCGGGAAGGAGAAGAGAGAGGGCAAAAAATTGGAAACCTATTTGAAAAAAATGACAGAAAACTTCCTGAACTTGGTGAAGGAAATAGACATGCAAGTCCAGGAAGCCCAGAGGGTAGGGTCCCAAACAAGATGAACCCAAAGAGGCCCACACCAAGACACATCATAATTAAAATACCAAAGGCTAAAGAAAAAAAGAGACTCTTAAAAGCAGCAAGAGAAAAGCAGTTAGTTACCTACAAAGGAGTTCCCATAAGACTGTCAGTTTAGTTCTCAAAAGAAACTTGGAAGGCTAGAAGGGATTGGCAAGAAATATTCAAAGTGATGAAAAGCAGAGACCTACACCAAGACTACTCTACCCAGCAAAGCTATCATTTAGAATGGAAGGACAGATAAAGAGCTTCCCAAACAAGAAAAAGCTAAAGGAGTACATCACCACTAAACCAGCATTATATGAAATGTTAAAGGGTCTTCTAAAGAAGAAGAAGATGAAAAATATAAACAATAAAATGGCAACAAAGACGTATCTATCAACAATTGAATCTAAAAAATAAATTAAACAAGCAGAAAAGAAACAGAATGATAGATACAGAGAACGTTTCGATGGTTGCCAGATGGGAGGTTAATGGGGGGATGGGTGAAGGGGGCAAAAGGACTGGGATGTGCAAATTGGTAGTTACAAAATGCTCATGGGGTGTAAAGTACAGCATAGGGAATAGAGTAGCCAGAGAATGTACATGCATGACCCATGGACATGGACAATGGCTGAGGACTGCCTGAGGGAGTGGCGGGGGAGCTCGGTGGAGAGAAGCAAAGAGGAAAAACTTGGGAGAATGGTAGTAGTATAGTCATAATATATAATTTTAAAAAAACATAGTAAGTAAATTCTTAGCAATATCTCTTCAAACAAGGGAAACAAACAAAGCATAAATTAAAAAATGCAACTACATCAAACTAAAAATGTTTTGCACAGTAAAGGAAGCCATTAACAAAATGAAAAAATAGCCTATTGAATGGGAGAATATATTTGCCAATGATATATATGATATGGGGTTAATATCCAAAATACATAAAGAACTCATACAACTCAACACCAAAACAATCCAATTAAAAACTGGGCAGAGGACCTGAATAGACATTTCTCCAAAGAGAACATACAGCTGGCCAACAGACATATGGAAAGATGCTCAATATCACTAATCATCATAGAAATGCACGTTAAAACCACAATGAGGTATCACCTCATACCTGTGAGAATGGCCATCACCATTAAATCTTAGGTAAGTTCTGGAGAGAATGTGGAGAAAAGGAAGCCCTTGTGCACTGTTGGTGGGAATGCAGATGTGTGTAGTCACTATGGAAAACAGTACGTAGATACCTCAAAACATTAAAAATAAAGCTGCCACATGATCCAGCAATTCCACTTTCGTGTACTTATCCAAAGAAAACAAAAATGCTAATTCAAAAAGTGTCTTCATTGTAGCATTATTTACCATATGAAAGCAACGTAAGTGCCCATCAATAAATGGATGGATAAAAAATGGGGCATGCACAAATATATATATATATGTATATTATGTATATATAGACATACACACACAAGGGAATATTATTCAGCAACAAAAAAGAATGAAATCTGGCCATTTGTGATGAGATGGATGGACCTAGAGGGTCCATCCCATGGCCACTCAGAGGGTGACATGCTACGTGAAGTAAGTCGGACAAATATCATATATGACTCATAAGTGAAATCTAAAACAACTAAATAAATAGATAAAGAAAACAGAAATAGATCCACATATACAGAGAACAAGCTGATGTTTGCTAACGGGGGTAGGGTGGAGCATGGGAATTTTTGAAAAAAAGACTCTCCAGCCAGATGCGGCGTCAAATCAAACCACGACCACATTGCCAATGGAAAGCTGTGACACCAAGCGGGAACCCCTGCCAAGGCAGCCGCACCCTGACAAAGTCGCCCCAGCCGGGCTGAGCTCCCCTGGACTCACCTGTCAATACCCAATGGGAGATCTGTCCTGGGGCAGATGCCTACAACCAAGCTCACGGAGACCGATCTCTAATGCCAATTTGCTGACCTACAGTGAGGAGAAACACCCCTAAGGGAGCCCGGGCCTCATATTTTCATATAAGGATCCCTCTTCTCGCCGGGTCAAGCCCACAGAAAATCGGCTTGCTCAGAGCGCTGCTGAGTGAGGAAGAGCACAGGGCCGGGGGGCCTGGCCAGAGGACACGAACCTTAATGGCATTCAGCCCTGAGAGGGGGAGGCGTTGGCCCCACAGCAGGGGTGTTTCGCCACTGGACGTGACAAAACAAACTGCTAGGACTGCGTTCCTCCCAGTCGCTGCTTTGATGGGAACTGTCAGGACTTGCCTTGTGGATCTTTCCCTGCCTAGTTCTGACCAAAGCTCCTCCCATTCTGGTCGGCAGAATCTTCCCAAGAGAAAGATTTCACCAGGTAAAGCCTCCAGTGAAGCTATCGCCAGTCAGGTCTGACTGAGACCCCCACCTGCGGTCCGCCGTGCATTGACATAATGGTCTGCTCCAGGAATGGGCTGTACTTTCCTATTTCCAAGCTTTCGGGGGCACCCCTCTTCGTGTCATGTACGTCCAATAAACAGGTAACGACAATTTCCACGTGTTGTGTGATTGGAAGTTTCCAAAGAGCTCGGGCAACCAGAGAGCAGCTGTTCTTCTCCAGTAGCCTTTGGGGTTCTTTGGGCAAATGCTGGGATTCTGATTTGACAGAGAGGGACACTGAGATTTAGAGGTGCTAAGAGGTACCTTCCTCTTAATGTTGTTGTAAACGTAAAATTGCTCTAAAAATAGAGTCTTTTTTTTTTTAAGTTGTATAAAAGGGAATCATGAACATATCTTTGAGGAGAGGGTGAGAGAAGGTGATGGGACTTTGGATACAAATGGGGCTTCTAAGATTCCGGTTCATTCTTAATCTGAAGGATAGACACACACATGAATCTTTGACGACTTTCTTAAGTCACAGGACACAGCGCCCCTAGTGCTAACCTTTGAAGTAACAGTCGTATGAGGTACAGCTTTCCCTTTTTGCTTAAACTTCATTTTGAGTTGTGTTTTCCATTACTCAGAGTTAAAATCATCCCAACTTATACCACCTCTTAACTTGAATGCAGGACAACCGGGGCTCGATTCAGTATAAGCTATCATATGATCCTATTCTGCTTTGTCCAATCACATCGCTAAAACCTTAGAAGACTAATCATTCCAACTATAAAAAAACATTTGCTCAGAAAGAAGAGGCTGTCATCAAAACAGCTCAGCATTTTTCCAGTGTGAAAAGACAACTTCCTTAAAAACACTCGCATTAAGCTTGTGTGACACCAACGACAGTCAGGGTTTGGTTTGGTTTGGTTTTTTTCATCTATAAATCACCACACAGATTAGGAGTAGCCGATAAGGAGTCTGGCTTGATCCCTTGCCCTCGGCAGGGATCAGCTTAATCTGGCCGGAAGATCACACATTTCCCACTGGAGCACAAGCTGAGGTCAGACCACAGGGTGAATTCAGCTACCACTGGGAGTTCTTGAAAGGAGAGCAAACAAGGAAATGAGGAGACATAGCTGAGCACGGGGCGTGGCCACGGCTTGTTTGGCCACAGGAATAAGGAACAGCAGTTTCTGCGCAGATGAGTCCTGTACTGGAAACTTCATCCTGCTGAGGAAATGACTTCCATCTCACCTGCTTGCGGATATAAAGAAACAGGTAGGCAAGACAAAGGGGCTAAGACAGAACCCTACACAGGCACACGCCATTTACTGGAGCTAGCAGGCACTTTGTGAGGTAAGCCCTTCACCTGCACAGCTCCAGTTAATTCTTGAGACAGCCCACAGGTCCTGTTCTCTGTACAGATGCGGAGAGTTTTAGCAAGAGGCCAAAGGCTGCCACTAGCCGTGGGTGGAGCTGAGCTTCCGACTCGGACTGTCCGAGTCTAAAGCTCATATTCACATTCTATATGTACACAAGAACAGTAAGGAGGCTGCAGAACACCTCAGCCCTGGAGCCTTGCCTCCTAGCAGGGACACAGAGGTGACCCCCAGCAGCTCTCGCCCTCTGCTGTCATGTGCTGGCCATGCCAGGCAGAGGCAGACCCAGCTAAGCTTAGTCAGGTTCCATTAGGAAAAAGGATTGACCTTCCTTGGTTCCCAGACCCCAAAGCTTGGCCCTCCCCTCCACCAGCCACTTCACACAGGTGCCATCTTGGCCACAAGAGGAACAAGGTTAAAAAAAAAAAAAAGGGTTTGCTCAAGGCAACTGCACCCCCATCGACCTCCAGGCCAGGTTCACTCTGAAGCTAATTCTTGACGGTGGTTATATGGATAGCGACTTCCACAATTACCTAAGGTCCAAAAAGAGACAGTCCTCAGGAGCGGGGTGCTGCCGTAGAGGGCGTGCATGTACATGAGGTGAACCATCAGCTCAGCCAGGCACCAACAGCAGAAGAGGCGGCACAGCCCCCGGGCGAGGACGGAGATGCTGATCTTCAGTGAGCAGGGCTCTTGCTGCTGCATCTAAGGTGGAAACGAAACAAGTCATCAGACTGCACCTCCCCCTTGAAAGTCTCTCGAATCATCCCCGACACAATGGTTTTGATAAACTGCCTACAAATACAATTGCTGTTTCTACCAAAAGAGGTTTGGTTTAGTTTGCCTTGGGAACACTCCGTGTTTGTGGGTTAAAAAATCACACCTGAGCCTGAAAACTCTGTCCCCGAGTAAGAACGGGATGGAATGACAAGCTAGGCTACTGCCAAGAGCCAAGACGGGTTCTGCAGACCTTCGCGCTGGAAACAAGCCTGCAGACACCTGGGACTCGGGTCTCTCCGGGTTCAGTGTTCCCCTGCCTTGTCTCCCACCCACATCTAAGGCTGGTGAAAGTAGGGCCATGTCAAGAAAGGGCAGAGGCCTGGTAATGAGACAGGGAGCCTGAGAACAAGGGGAAAACTAGGTGTGGCCACATCGCCTTAACTGCAGGTGCTTTTGAAACGAGGCAGAGTAAACACAATCAGGGACAGCATGTGGCACAAGTCTCTGGCTTAACGGGTAGTACAGTGTCATAGTCAAGAACGTGGACCTTAGAGTGAAACAAAGTCGAGATCAGATTCTAGCACAAATCACATAGCTCTGTGATCCTGAGCAAGTTACTTACCCTCACTGAGGCTTGGTTCCCTCATATATAAAATAATCAAAACTTGTTGTGATGATTAAATATAAGGAACAAGGTAGTACGTACAGCACCTGGCACATGAAAAGCACTGGGTAACTGGTAGTCAATGTCTGATAATTAGGTGCCTTGTAGCGCACATTCTCCACCTTCACCTTCTTCCCCTGTGGTGTCCCAGACTAGCAGACCCGGGGCAGAATCAGGGCACGATTCAGGGCCAGACATCAAAGGTGACAGAGGGATGTTTTGACTGTGCTAGACACAGACAAACCACTCAGCATGTACTCAATACCTGTGGACAATACAGACCAAAAAAGTCTAAAGTTCTGCCCAGGTAGCCTGGTTCTGTGATCTCGCCTCACCGCCAGCTGTTTAGGGATGCGCAAAAATTTAAAACAGATTCTGAAATGCGTAAGCATGCGATAAAAGCTGAAGTGAATTCTCTTTCAGCCTCACAGCACCAGACAGACAGTAAAACAAGAGAGCCTGTGGAAGTTTTCTGCATCTGACACCGACAACATTTCATTAGACAGGGGGCCGCCTTGAAATGCAGAGGAGCGGCGAATGCATAAAGGATGGGGTTGAATCTGCAAACATTAGCTGGCAGGGGCAATGGGCTCGATCCAGCATTTGACAATGAGGGTTCTAGACATTATATCAACAAGGCCTATTCCCTGGGGCAGGTAATCCCTAGGTTCCTCTTAAGCTTCCACTCTCCCCCAACATCAAGGCGTGGGGGTCCCTGGGTGGCCAGGGGGAGGGGCTGGCGCTCCCCTGAGAGTCCACGGCAAATCTGCACGCCAGGGGATTTATGGTTATTCCATTTTGACACACGTTCTACCGCTTTCTCCACCTGCCCTCGTACAGCAAGAAGCCAGACTAAGAAGCTTTGTCTGGCTCATGGCATTACAATAATCTGCCCTTTTGCCACTTGGTTAGTTACACGAGGGACAGCTGGCTGATTTCATTTTGATGTAAATTGATCATATTAACAGGAACTTTCTTTTTCCTTTAGTGTCCCATGGCCACACCAACCTGCATGATTAGGAAATAGCGACTGCTTTGAAGGGTTCACCAGGTCAGCTATGACAGGGGAGGCGCCAGCTGGGAAGGGTCGGCCAGGAAGGCAGGCCGGGCAGGGCGGGGGTTGTAGACTGGCATTGATTGCAGCTGACTGCCATCGCAGCTGCACGGCGTGAGCCCATGCAGATGCCCCCGCAGGCATAAACCAAGGGTGGTTTCCACTGGAATCCTCACCTCAAGAGTGCAGTGCTCTGCCGGACCCTGCACAGCCGACCTCACCAAGCTGGTGGATGGCTAGATCCTCGGCGCAGAGGTACCTACCTGCCTGACCATTTCTGTCTGTGTGACTTAATTGAGATGGAAAAGGAAGAGCCCAAAAATCCAACACTAGAAAGTTGGTGAACTGCATGACTGATCCTCAATATTATGGAGCCATGAAAACTATTTTTGTACAATGAGTCTAAATAATGAAAGGTTGGAAGGATGCACACCAAGTTGGCAACAGTGATGGTCTTCTTTGGAAGGTAAGATTTTTAGGTTGTGTTCAACAATTGCTTATTTTCATGATCAGGGAAAAAAGTAACACGATGTTGTGAAGACTGTGGCCCTGTCTGCTAGGAGGCAGCGCGGTCTGTTTCCTCACCCTTCCTCTAAAGCATGCCTAGTGTCGGCGTCTCCCGGGGAAGCCCCGCATCCTCCTGGAGCAGGCAGCCCCTCCTCTCTCTCATGCTAGCCCCCGTCTTTCTTTCTCCTGACCTTCCCACCTCACTCCTAGCTTTTCTTAGCTATGCACGGAGTTCCTCCTTGTTAATTATCAACCCTTTCCAGCTCTCTAAACCAAATTCACTTTGACATAATGACCGTCAGCCAATGAGGAGACGATTACAGAGTGTCCCTTGTGGAGGCCGGAAGAGTTCCCACCAAGGCAGCATCAAGGCTAAGACACAGAGGCCAAAACCATTCAGACCAACAGACCGGCCTTTCTCGGAGCCAGACTCTCGGTGGGAAGCAAGTTCCCCGGACAACACGATGCTGGCCTCAAAAGCAGTGTTGACAGAAGACAATATTTGCGCAATGGAATGTCTCCCATTTCCAAGTAAGCGACTCTGCACGTGGCCCATGGGCCCCTGAGCAGAAGCCGCCCCCCAGCGCAGGCCCCCTGAAGACCAGACCTGCACTGGAGGCCCCGGCGCGTCACCCGGTGTGCAGCCCACCCAGGGAGCGGAGAAGCTGCGTGGGACGGAGGCCCCACCAGGCCATCGGGAAACGCCTCCATCCAGGCACCGCCCGGCTTCGGGCATCACACTGCAGCGACAGTTCAGAGGCCCTCCTTTCTCTTCCCGATCCATGTGCGGTCCAAAATGACATCAACATCTATGATTAAGAAGAAACACAATGTGCACTTGTGGCTGGTGGGCTTCCCAGTAATGACTTACCTGCCCTTCCCAGGGCGACACTTCCCTACAGGGTTTCAGGAGGCAAACCGTGCGCCACCACTGGCGCAGAAGGGACCTTCCCTTTTGATGCTGGTGGCCGCCCCGCGTGGGGAATGGAAGAGTCTACTCCTCCACTGCACAAGGGCACCCAGCAGAAGGAGACCAGTCCGATTTTTCATTCTACTTGCTTTTAACAAAAAAGTGGTTATTGGTCTTCATCTTCAGCGTCAGGTCATTGTTACAGTCTATTTATATCTCCAATCTAGTAGACTTCCTTTTAGATAAGAAATTCGGCACTGGTCCTTTGTCGATCCAGCAGGAAGAAAAGACATGCCACGCACAGATCACCACTGAGCAGGGTTGCTCTCTTGTCAGCGTGCAAAGCACTTCATTCGAGATATTTCCAACCTAGGGGAGTGCCAACCTTAACGCCACTGGAAACTGCCATCAGTGGGAATTTAAGGCACCACTAAAAAAATACACATTCACTCATCTGCAAAGTGCATTTTAAAACAGATTATATTTTAAAACCTCATTTCATGCAAATTGCATACAAAGGAATATCAAAGGCTTTTAGAGATGTTCCGATGATTAAAGATGACAGTTTTCAAAAAGGAAAGGTTCTTTTCCTTCACGCAGTAATAATACAAGTGTTTGAAGGCACCAAACAAAAACCTTCCCAGAACCAGCTGTTCAGCTCTGCCTCCTCTGCTCCAACCCCTGTGCTTGGTTCCAGGCACTGGAGTCGGGGGGGGGGGGGGGGGGGGGGGAGCTTCAGTCCAGTTGGTGGTCACAGACCAAAGCTCTACTCCCAACAAGCCATTCCCAATCAGACCCTCGCTGCCCCCTCCCCCGTCAACCAGACCAAAGTAGGTGGTACACAGTGGCCTCTTGCCAGCACAGCAGGTGGGGCCTGCAGTGGGCGTTGCTGCCCAGGACTGGCACCTGGTCTGGCCGGCGGGAGCCTCCAGACACGCATGGCCACAAGCCTGGCCGCACCTTCTCTCTGAGTCCTGGGCACTCCCCAAGTCGGCACACAAGGCTCAGGCCTTTACTCCTCCCACCCCAGTCTGCATGCTGTGAGCCTCTCTCCTCCTCTGCCTCCATATTACCAGCTGTGCAGTGGTCATAACAACAGTATCTCTCTCCTAGGGCTGTTGAGAGGAGGAAATGAGTTAGAATATGCAAAGCCTGGCTCGGAGCAAGTGCTCAGTTAGCATTACTTATTACAGTTTGTATTGTTCCAGATAGGTTCTCGAACCAGAGCCCGGTGCACGCCCTGCGCAGTTTGTCCGGGACGCTGCCTGCCTGCCTGCCTGCCTGCCTGGCGCATGCTGGACCTGGCCCCTTGAGGGCTGGGCCCCCCCACCCCAGGCCTGCAGCAGCAGCCCTGGTCTCTCTCCCAGAGAGACGGAGCCAGCACGCTGGCCTCTTCTGCGGCCAGGATGCCCTGCTGCTGAGCCCACTCCCACACTGGACACCCAGGGTCTCCGTTCAGGCCTAAAGTCACCCCAGAATTGCCCCACATTTTTTCGCATAACGACAGCAACATTCACAGTAATGATTAACACTTTATAGTATTTACATGTCAAATTGAATTACCGATACAAACTCATTTAATCCTTAAAACAATCTTGTGAGGGATAAGGAAACTGAGTCACAAGTAAAGTAAGTCACCAAACACTCCCAAGCCACAGCAGGACAGGGATTCAAACGCTACACGAGGGCTGGTTCCAGCGTCTTCACCATATGCAGTTCCCTATCTGAGCGCGGGCGCTTCTTCAGGGAGCAGAGGCGCGGCCTCAGCAAGAACAAGCCCCGGCCCTACCCACCTCCGGCTCACCGCCTGCCCCCAGCCCAGTCCCACACTGGACAGTTCAACCTATCTGGAGTAAGATGTGGGGGCCCAGGCCACGCTAAGCAAGTGAACAGCCCGCCCTGCCTCCTAGACCCCCTGGACCCCGGCCTCACCCCTAGCTCAGCATCTAAACTCCACAGAACATGGGAGAAAAAGAAATGGAGCTCCCGTCCCTGACACGGCAAATGCCATCAGAGAGGACCCTCGAGTGCAGGCTCTGAGGCCTTTCAACAAATTTTACCTGTTCATGATTGATATGTGCAAACTCCACATGCCTCTTACATTACAGAAGACACCCCATCTATACTCCCCTCATCTTGTGTGTGTAAATGTACGTGCTAAAAAAAAACTGGATGAAAGATATCTTCTCCCACGGGTGTGCCTAACACGGTCATCTTGGCAATTCCAGTTGGAGGTTCCCAGCTGGCCACTGCTTTTCTGTCCTGGGTTGGTTTCCACGTGAGGCTCTGCTGCCCCCTGGTGGCACAGCCTCATCCTCCTGCTCTCACTAGCTTGTAAGCACTGACCTGAGAGGCTAAGAATGGCGAATTCTAACATTACAGTCCTTCTGTCTGAAGTCATGTATTCATTCACGCAAGCACTTGTGCAGAGCAAACCTTGCTTACAAGCCCTCCCAGTTAGCTTTCTTCCTCCTGTCCCACCGTTCTCTTCTGGCCTCTCTGGAAGGATCCTTCCACCCCTGGATTAGCTTCCTCATTCAGCGGCTCCACTTTTCGACACCCATTTCCTCGTTGGAGGTCAAAGTGCCCCGCAGGCACCTCTGGCAGCTGCAGGACCTCCCGGCTGTCTTTCCACTTGCCCTCTGGCTCACTAAACATCTTAGCTTTTCCAGACCAACTTTTCTGTGAATATCCCTACACCACAGAGAACGGTTTCAATGTGTGTTTCTGAGTTCCCTGCTTTCAGAAATTGCTACCTGTGAGAAGGGGCAGCAAAGAGGGAGATAAGACACAGGGGTCACCCAGGCGCCACACCTGAGTCCCTGCAGGAGGACACGAGCCCTTCTCTTCCCCTGACTGAAACTCAAGGGAGCGTTGCCCTTGGCTGAGGATTTAGATGAGCAATGAGCCCAAAGCTTGGCTCCGGTAACAGACACAGGACCCTGCAATGGGCCTCCAGGGGTCCTGCGAGACCCTCCAGGGCGCAATTTCAAAGACGGAAGTGAGAAAGAAGAAGAGTGATGGTTTGCGTAATCATAAAGTGCACATCCCATAGGGCAAAGCTCCTCAGTGGGTAACAGTCAGTTAGGAAAATAACCTGCTTCCTCTTAATGGATTGGGTCCATTTTTCTCTGAAAATTACTGTCTTGAGAGTGGTGTCTTGGGGCGGCGGGGGGGGGGGGGGGGCGGCAGGCGGATGTGGCTGTTTAGTCCAAAAGTTATTGGCTGAAATGTTGGGAAGAATTCAAAACTCACAATGGTGAGGAGATTATAAAAGAGACAACTTGGAAGGCCTGAGCCCACCCTGCACTGTGCCTACCAAATCCCACCCCGTGCACCCTCATCTTCTGAGGATCTCAGGGCAGTGGTTCTCAACTCCCCGCATGCATCGGCATCGCCGGAGGGCCGGGAAACCGCCTGGCTGGGCCCCACCCCTAGCCCCTGACTTGGCAGGCCCGGGGCGGGCCTGAACCCCTGAATCATAACAAGTTCCCAGGTGATCCCGATGCTGCTGGTGCAGGGCCCACACTTTGAGAACCAGAGTTAGAGGATCAGCTGCCATCACTAACCGCCTCTTCCTTTTACACAATAATTTTAAACATGATTTTCACACAGATTTAAAATTACTTCAGGACAAAAGAATGATTGATCCTATGTAACCCAAACTGAGGTTTGCAAAACCAAATGCTAAACACACATCTGCCTAGAATACCAACTTCACTTAAAGATTTGCAGAGGGAAAAAAGTTAAATAATGGGCAATTTTAAAATATGACATTATGATTATAATGCAGAATATACTTTTGAATACAATACATAAATGCATAAATTAGTGGAATTTTTAAGACATAATTAAGGGATTTCTAAGAACCCTATGACTTGTCTAGGAGGCATATTCCAGGGTGTCCTCCAAAAATGTTCAACATTGACTTTGCACTTTAAACTACATTTCTAGGCATGTGTGTGTACATGTGTGTGGACTTGCACATGTGTGTGTGGTATGCACACATGCTGTGTGTGCATGCATGTACCACAGGTGCAGGCATGTACTGTGTGTGCAGGCATATTATTCTTCTCACCTCAATCAAGATTGTTTTGTTTTGGTGGTAGGTGGTGGGAATGTCCCTGAGAGACACTTTTTGGGTATTTTCAATTACGAACACCATCGGTGAATTAATTTTATAAACATGTTCCATGAGGCCAGCTGTGGAATGAGGGAAACAAATCTCAGGTGGAGGAAGAGTGAGGTGAGAATGATGAAGACAGAGTGGCATGAGCTTCAGACACGGCTGCTGTCCAGCGAAGGCAGGCAGGTCCTGGGCTGAAACAGGATCCCAGACCCCAAAACACTATTGCCTTCCAGATCTCTTTGCCTTCCCATCTAAGTTGCCCTGAACAATTCCCAGGCTATAGCAGTTCATAAAAATAAAAGAGAGCATACTACTTGCCAACCAACAGCTTAGACAGTTCCTCTTCCTACTTTGCAAGCAATACCGTGAGATTTCAATTTTTTCTCTCCCCGGGCTGCCCTGCAGGGTTCCCCATGAGTTCCTCGCTGCGCCGTTATTAATCCTGGTTGCTGCAGTCCACCAAGAATCAGGGTTGGGACAAGGGGACCTTTATTTTGAAGGCTGATTTTCCTGAAGTATTTATTACATTAAAAAAAATCAAGACAATAATATGTGTTTTAAATTTGTGGGCGCCCCTGAATGAAAACACTCAAGAGGAACATGTCAGCAAGGACAGAGGCTCAATCTGCAGAAACCAATCCAGTCCCCAGGGACCCACCTGCGCGACAAACTCCGGGAAGCTGAGGATGGGCCCATTGTGGAAGACCGGGTAATAGAAGACGTAGGCCATCATCCAGGGCAAGGAGTAGAAGGTGCGCCCAGAGGGCAGCTGCTGCCAGCAGAACTCGAGGCTGAAGCTGGTGTAGTACAGGCAGCGGACGGTCAGCGTGAACTGCAGCAAGTAGTACTCGTTTTCTGTCTTGTACCACCCTCTCTGCAAAGCCACCAGGAGAGAACAGCCCGTGAACGGCAAGGAGGGACATCATCCAATCTCCGGGGAGAGAGATTTCTTCCACGGGTAGAGCAGGAGATGTACCATAAAGGGAGTTGAGAACCACTGAACAGCAGGAAAATCTCCTTGGCAATCAAAACAAGCAGTTAATGAGCAGTGGGCAAAGGAGTGTCTCTAACATCAGCTTAGCATTAAGCCTGATGCAACATAATGAAGGTTTTCCCAGATATGCATCTGTCAGCTCTATCCAGTAGGTTACCGGGAGGTTAGCCACAACCAGTGGACACTCTGACAGCTCCTCCAACAATTCTGAAGACAAACAGAGGCTTATAAATGTTACTCGGGTTGTCCACTCTCTCACCTTTCCCATCATGTTCTTTCCCGTGACTGTGCCAGTCCACAGCACACCAGTTCTAAGTGCTATCGCTTGAATCAATGATTGAGCAAATGAATGAACACGTGAACAAAAATAAAGACACCACAGGAGTTCCAGTTCCACCGTGATTTAAGAAAGAATATAATAAAATTCCCAACATTCTCTATGCAAAGAAATACCTGCCTTATCTGTCTCAGGGGCTACCGTGGTACCAGATGAGATATGGAATGAGTTTCCTATAAATTGTACCGTTCCCTCCAGATGACTTTTTTTTTGTTAAATGCATAGGGATCTATTACTTTCTTTTCCCTTTATTCCTGACCCAGTGATGTGTGCCACCACCCATGCCTACCCAAACTGGGAGAAAATGTACAAGGTCAGCCCTGTGCAACCTCAGAGGACTTAGTCCCCTAGAAAAGACCTGACTGCAGAGTTCACCACCAGGGTTCACATGCATCAACCCCACGTGGCCACTAGGAGGAGCCCCACCACAGTTCTTCTACTGACTCTTGCCTGAAAACAAAGGTATCTACCGGATGGGGGCACCGCCAAAGGGACCTTCTCCTTGCCAAAGGTAAACAGAGACACTTACCTTCATTTCCTCCACATCTTGCATCCTCAGTGTGGAGAGCAGGAGGAGAGAACAGAGCCATGACAGGAACAGCGACCGGAATTGGGCTACGCAGAAGGAGACGATGGTGTGGAGAAATATCATGGCCGTCCCTGGGGCCCCCAGCACGCACCAGCAGGCCCACATTCCATAGGCGGTGAGGATCCAGGGTCTGTGCTGTGCACAGGAGCCCCAGCGGGGGAGGCACACAGGGTGGGCGAGGGGAGAAAAGAGAGAAGGGTGAGCTAAGGGGCTCTGTTACTGGAGATTCTACGCAGGAGAGGCTGGCGCTCCGCAACCCCACGCACACACGGTCCTGCTACAGCGAGGGTGAAGGAAAGGATTGGTGAACATGTCTCAGGAGCCTCACTGGGAAGCCTGGGCCATCCAAACCACAAAAGCCTTTTAGAGTTGAAACCACAGATTCAAAATTAAGTATCTAATTATATTTTTATTTAGTAGCATATTATTCACAGTCACATTCATGTCACAGAAAAAGTGTATGTTACCTGCTTTCTGTGATTTTGAGGCCTTTGCATAGTCAACCTGATTAAAACATTTAGTCTTGTCTTAAGAGAATCAGAGAATATCTTCCTATTTAATTATCAAATTGTAATAGTGATTGACATTGAATAACCAAATAGATAAATTAACATGTCTTTGCTTTTGTGATACACTCTTGGCCATATTTGTCTTACTTAAAAACCACAATAATGTTTTAACATTGTTCGAGAGGTAACACATCATAGCTGTTTAATTACTCAAGCTTTGAAATCCGACTGCCTGAATAAATCCTAGCGCCCCCATTAACTAGCCGTGTGACCCTAAGCAACTTGTTTAATGTCTCTGTGCCTCAGTTTTTTCATATATAAAATTAGGATAATACCACTATTGACTTCAGAAGGTTGGTGTGAGAATTTAGTGGGTACATGCATGTAAAATGCTTACAGTGGTGTCTGCATACATCGTAAGTCCAGCAGAACTACTTGTTATTTCTATAGGGAACTATGATGTGTCTTCTCAGTGTGCACTTAAAAGTATGGTTTCTAGGAATGTCTTCTCGTAAAAACAAAGACTTCTTTAAGGGAAAGTCAGATGTGGGCTGAAAACTGTACCCATCCTTAGATGCTAACTCTTCCAAATTATTGCTGAAGTACAACTTTTCCCAAACCTATGTGCCAGCTCAAGAGAAAACATTTTAAATGAGCAACTACGTCAGGCACTTTTAAGATCCAAGAAAATCAAAGAAATCTGCAGTTCATTTTTACTATTTTTCCATCCTACTACCCACAGAAAATAGCCACATAAATTTGCTTCAAACTTTCCCCCAAACACTCACCTCTGGGCAGAGTGCAAGTATAAGGAACAAGGTCGCCAAAGACTATTTTAAGAAGTAGTTACAACAAATGAAAAAAAAAAAAAAAGGTTCTTTTTCACCATGACCTACAGCAATTACCACTTGGAATTCTTTTTCATGCTACGGACATACACATATACACAGCTACATTTTTATTAAGTGCTATTTGATCCCTTTGGAAAAAGCCTGTCTTCTGGGATTCATTTGGGAATATAACCTCAGACTTAGGCTGCTTCAACTTGGAAAAGCTGAACAAGCCTCCAGGAAATCCTTAATGGTGCTGCAAGAACCTGCTTGGGAGGCTCTCTGATGAACTTAAGTGTGCTCATGAAAGCTACCCTGGGGGCACAAGCTTGTCCCATAGTCTCACCCCCACTCTCTTCCTCCTGCCAGACAGTACAGACAGACAACATCTGATGTCATTCTAAGACTTCACAGAAGATGCTCGCACATTCACATGATGTTCTCTACTAACCCTCGTATCACCCGCTCCCTCGCCCCGATGGGTAAAGACAACTCATTGTGAACAGGTGGTGAAATGGAAAAGATGTGAACAATGCAAAAGAGGCACCTATACGATACTGATTTTCATTCTTTGTCTATAAAAATGTGACTCAAATCCTATCCTCAAAACTCCACTAAAATCCTGATATAGCATGAGTAGCTTTCCACGCCTCATTTCAAATATTACACAGTATGTAACCGTTGGGGTTAGCCTTTTCCCCTCAGCATAATTCCCTGGAGAGTCACCCAAGCTGCTGCAGGTATCAAAGCTTCGCTTCCCTTTATTGCTGTGTAGTATTCCACAACATGGACCTACCACCACTTGTTTAACCCGTTGAAGGACATCTGGGCTATTTCCAGTTTGGGGCTGTTATAAATAAAACGGATATGAACATCTGTGTTCAGGTTTTGTGCAAAAAGAAGTGTTCATTCCCCTGGGATAAACACCCAAGCATGCACTTGCTGGTTTGAATGGTAGTCACATGTTTAGTGCTACAAGAAATTCCAAACAATTTTCCAGAGTGGCCATCTTACACTCCCACCAGCAACAGGTGAGTGATCCGATTTCTCGGCATCCTCCCCAGCATTCGCTGGTGTTGCTATGTTAGAGCTGAGCCATTCTGGTAGGTGCGCAGGCCTATCTCTCCGAGGCTTTAAAGTGCATTCACAATATTCTTTCACAGGATAGCAAAGTGTGAGCAACCTGAAGCTTGAGAATAAGACAGGTTGAACTTTGCTGGGTGCAAAGTTCATCAGAACTATCCCAGGCCCCTTGACTCTCTTTATTCCAGGCTCTTCAGTTTCTAATAGAAGATTAAAAAAAAAAAAAAGGCAGAGAAAAGGAGAAGCTTATTAAGAAATGTTTGTGGCAGTAGAGAAAAAGCCAGAGTAAGAATACTATGGTCTCTGTGATGGGACACAGTGCTTGCTGCCCCCGACTGAATTAGGCAGACAACCTTGCTCTCTGCTCCCACTGCTCCCTGTGTTTACACAGAATCCACTTCTCAAAACGGGGAAGGGGTAACTGGCTGTCCACTTCATAGCTTCCCTTAGAAGGCTAATATCCTGTCTTGTTCATATTATAATAATCTGAGCCCAGAACCCAAGACAGTACCTAGCATATGGCAAGTGTTTCATAAATACTGGATGGATGGATGGATGGATGGATGGATGGATGATGGGTGCATTGGATGGGTAGATGTGTGGATGGGTGGATGGACATAGATGATGGATGGATAGAGGGATGGATGGATATGCTTCCCCAAGTCTTGGGATTTAACCTTGTAGTTATGACTAAAAAGTAACAAGAAATTAGCACCAAAATTTTGGGCTTTCTGGTCCACTAATGTGAGATCCTGCTGTTTTCCAAAGTCTCTACTTGTACCACTTAACCCCTTATAAACAAAAGCTGCTTTGCCAGTGCATATGAAATATGCACATCACATCTCCCTGCCTACTGTGTGTTTTCCACTCACAGGGGTCTTTTATGTTGGGAAGATCTCAAATAGTTTGTAACTGGTAGGGCCCAGACACCAACCTGTGAAAACAGACCTCTGTGATAGCACCCGCTGCCTATTACCCTAGCGAAGCCTTCCAGGCGACAAACCAATTGAGCTGGCCCATTTCCAAGGCTGAAGTCAGCCCCTCTGAGAAAAGGCTGTGGCCTTGCCCTCCTTTCTTTTGTAAATCTATATCCTCCGGAGCTCCTCCACGGGGAGGCGGGGCCCAGGCACAGGAAGTGCTGGCTGACAGTGCCCCCTCTCACACCATCACTACTTATACGTTAGCTTTTCTGGGCTGTGAGCACAGACTGATAATAGGATGTGCCTGAGCGGCTTCCCTCATTATCTTGTCTCTGTAGGGAGGAAGGGAAATGTAAAGCCTTGGTGGAGGCTCCTGTTGGCAACTGTACCAGACTTTGCTGTGCATTAATTCTTTTTGTACATCTGCCCAAAAAGCACTCAGTGGAGCGTTGTTTGAGAAACAAAAGGAGTCAATCCATAATCCTTCTACGTGGCATAACTTATTACATACTACATGATGGAGGGCAGCTGCTGCTGAAAAATATATCTGCTTATCTCCCCCAAACAAATAGGGGAAGAAACAAACCCATTCCAGAGTCCAAGCAACTCCATGCTAGCCCACTTTTCCTGGGAGCAAAGGCCGGTGGGCCCCTACAGAGCAGATTCCATCCCTCCCTAGATCTGCCCTGATGGAGGCGGCAGAGTCTGGTTCCAGGAAAACCATTAGTGCCTGAGATTCCCATTAGGTGTGTGGTTTCGGTAATGGGCTGGCAGGGAGCGCCTGCTCACCGCGTCCTGCAGAGGTTAGTCTGCTCATCTCAGCCAACATGCTTTTCAGTCCTGTGGCCGATGAGCTCAGCCAGTCTGGGCCCAAATGCTAATGATGTGGGTTCTGCCTGTCAGAGGTGCGCTGAAAACTCGGCTCTGCGGTTAGCAGCAGCGCCCACCCCACCCCCGCACCAGGCCAGCCTTCTCAAAACGTTCATGTGGGGTTATTTTTAGTTCTGAGGGCAAAGAACACAATGTCTCAGGTGGCAGCGAGGCCACAGGGGTGTTCAAGAGGGGGGAACTGTCTGACCCACCCTACACACACTCCAAGCATAACAAACCCACAGTCAAAGCCCAGAGCCGCCCCTCAGCCTCCCCTCCCACGGCTCTGGCCCTGTCTCAGTCTCACCAAAACCGGAGAAAGCCCTACCCAGAGGAGACGCACTTAACCTCAGCCAAGGAGCTCAGTGGAAAGTTTTATTACTTGTCATGGCAAAAAAAAAAGAGAGAGAGAGAGAAAGGAAAAGAAAAAGAAATAAAATCACACTTTGGAAAAAACCCTGCTTGTCTCTGGAAGGAGGCAGGGCTCTCAAAGGAAGAGGCGACATGAGATATTAGAGGGAGATGGGAAGCATCTTTAAGGGTTTAGGAGCTGTAACTGCAAGATCTGCTAACGTCTGGCCCTGCACAGCTCCGGCCACAGTGCACAACGCCTCCAAGGACAGAGAAATAAATGAACTCCAGCTCAAATCTTCCAGCCTGAGTAAGTACCCAAGCACCCACCCGAATTAAGGCCATCTGGAACACTTAGTCCAGGTGCTGAAAGCGCAGAGCGAAGGGGGCCAAAGTTGCGGTTGATACTTAGGTAAGGGCCAAGCAGACGCAGACAAAGAAAGCACTGTGCGCCGGCCCCAGCCAGAGTGCGGCTCCCCAGCTGTCGCACAAATCAAACCTGTGGTCACAGAGGGGACGGGAGAGAGACACACACACAAAGATGACTCTGTGAACTCTGCCTCATTCCAAGAGAAAAAACACAAAGACCCCTCCTACTGACTCTGGATAAGATGCTCCCTGCAGATAAAAAGGCAAGTCCACCTGTCCACTGTGCCTGTTGATGAGGTGCAACGCTGAAATAAGCAAACAACTCCACTTCCTACACGTCCCAGCTCAAAGCCACATCCTGGGAGACCTTCCCTATGACCCTTAGGCGGATGTGGCCCACTCCTCCCCTGCACCCAACCCACCACCACATCAGGTCCAGCACTGCAATTAGAGTTTGGTTTCCTAGGTACCGTGCCTTCTCCCTCAACTCTCCAAAGGAACGGGCTGTGTCTCCCAATCCCTCCCCCCAGGACCCCGCATACACTTGAATGAAACAGGGTCAGAGAAAGACATTCATGAGAGGAATGTGGCTATGACTGCACAGGCAGCCTCAAGACAGTCACCTCCTTCCTTGGACACCGAGGAGGAGACCGCTCCCAGAAGCACACGCAGACCACACCCTCAGCACACGCTAAATGCCCGCAGACGCCAGCAGCAGCCACCACTCACTTGGCTTTTATCGTGTGCAAGCAGAACCTTAAAAACACCAGATCCTCAGCACTACCCCAAGAAGCAAGTGCTGTTGCACAGAATGAGGAGATGAACTCGAAGATATTAACTCACTTAAGGCTGCATAGCTTACAAGCCACGAGGCTGGGATTTATCCACTCTGCATACTGCCTCCCAAGGTGGAAAAAGCCTTAACTCAAAATTGCAAGCAAATTAAATAGAGGGCCATCTACATTTTAATCTAGGCAGATTTCTGATGGTAGTAAATGCAAAAAAGGAGCTGAATATTGAGGAAGTTTGGAAAGAGGAAGGAGCATCAGGCCAAGAACATAAGAGTTAATCTACATTCCACATTCTCGATGAGGGTTATATCTCCTCCAGCAGAGGGGGGATTGGTTCTTGGCAACAAGAAAAAGCATAAAGCGCAGGCATGCACACAGTACATAAACAGGTATTCAGTATGTCTGTAGTTAAAATTCCACCGAGAATGCGCTGGAGGGCGTGGCTCAGTTGGCTGGTGCGACATCTGGTAAACTGGAAGGTCGAAGGTTCAGTTCGGTCAGGACACAGGCCTATGGTGCAGGTTCACTCCCTGGCTGGGACACGTACAAGAGGCAACTTATCACTGTTTCTCTCTCACCTCGAGGTTTCTTTCCCTCTCTCCCTTTTCTCTAAAAGTGACAATTAGGAAAAAAATACCTAAAAAGGCTACTGGGGGTTGGAGGCAATAACAAACAAAGCCAGGGAAAGACTGATCTACAAGAGGCAAACAAGAAGTAGCAAGAACAAGAGGGAAGCAAAGCAGACCATCCAGATGGGGCCACATCGGTCCTAGCGCACGTGGCAGAGGCCCGGGGCACACAGGACATGAAGTTGGGGTGCCCAGGGCAACCTCGCCTTTTCTTCTACCTGCCACTGCATTCTTCCACATGATCAATTAAAAACATATCAAATATCAAACACAGAGAAAGGAGTGTTAATTAAGTTTGTCAGGTGTACAAGGAAAAATGAAATAGCACCGGCACGCACACCAGCAGCTTAAGACAGTCAAGACTATCAGTGCTTAACGGGCCCTGGGCATCTACCCTGATTCCACCTATGTGCCCCCGCCCCCAACCGGCTGTAACCACTTTCCTGAATTTCATATTAATTTTTTATTATCTTACCTTTCTTTGTAAATATACAAGTGTGACTTCAGTTTGCACACTTCTGAGCTTTAAGTACATGGGATCATATCTGATAGATTGCTCTGCAACTTACCCTATTAGCTCAATGTTTTAATCCAGAAATTTATCCACGCTCATAACTATAGTTTTACTTCAAAACCTTATATTCATTGCTTTGAAAAATAACTTGGAGGAAGTAAGTGTAGGATAAGAATGTATTAACCCTGTGTCTTAAATCTCGGGTCATCATTAACAATTTGTTCTCATTTTTCCAGGCCTCCACAGCTCATATCCATGTCTACTGATTCTTAGTTCAGGGCTCTTTTGTCACAAAAAGCAAAGAGAAAGAGGCTTAAAAGGAAGTGATGCACATAATCGTACCTTCCTGGCAATCTGGTTGGCCACTTGAGACACAGCCAGGTGGCCAAGGAGGAGCCACGCCAGCCGCTGCTTCCCCCACTCCATCCAGAAGCTCCACTCGAAGTCGGTCCGGTCCTAAAAGGCCAAGAGAGGAATTTATCAGAAGGACTGCGGTACATATCTGAGGCAGAACACAAACTCCAGTTAATAAACCAACTCGAAAGAAGGCCAATGGGAGTCCAGACTCTGCAAAATGGGATTTACACAACACTCCCAGCCTTTACCCTGCCAGACCCCCACCCACATACACTCCCCCTCCAGCTTGGCCTTGGCCAGTCGTTGCCCATTCTCCAAGTGTCTTTGTTAAGGCTGCTTTCCCAGGACTCTCTGTGGACTGGAAACTATTATTAAAAAATTATTATTATTAAAAATAAGGAGGGGTTAAAGAATTCAATTCAATTATTATTAAAAATAAAGCGGGGTTCAAGAGTTCAACTCAGTTACCCAACATCACACAGAAAGGTACATAATGAACTGAGGTGACTGAGCAGTCACCCAGGTGCTCTCCCTTAACACGAGAAATGTAAACTGGACACTAGGAAAGTTGCTTAAAATTATGTTAAGTCTTGCTGCCATTTATAGGTAAGAGATTATTTGATAGAGAAAGGAACTATTTCCCTCTAAGATTCTAATGAAAGAGTAAAAGGTACACTGCCCTTCCCTGTGTCTGTATCCGCACCAGCCTCTGTGTCTACAAGGCTCCCTGACAGGGGAAGATGGACGAGCCTCTGGCAGAATGGGACACAGCACGGGGACCCTGGGACTGCCACCTGACACTCTGAGCCTCAGGAGCCCCGGGGAGACCATGGCAGCCCAGCTGGGCATGGAGGGAATAGACACATTATGAGGGTGGGGAAGGGCTCCCCAAGAGACTCTCTTTTTTATGCTCACCCAAGGACATTTGTTCATTGCTTTGAGAGAGAGAGAGAGACATGGCTGCAAGACAGAAACATCAGCTGGCTGCCTCCTGTACACACGCCCGCCAGGGAACGAGCCTGCAACCTAAGTACGTGCCCTGACTGGGATCGAACCCACAACCTCTCAGTTATGGGACAACGTTCCAAACAACCGAGCCACGCAGGTCAGGGCTCCCCAGGTGACTACTGATACTGAACAACTCATCAGTCTCTGAAAGTAGAACTCCAAGTCAAATTTAATTGGATTTAGAGTAAAATACGTGGGGTTATTTTTTTTTAACCTGAACATTGAGAGGCAACCTCATACCAGTTACACATATTATAAAACTGTATTTACTTTTCAGACAGCAAAATATAGATAAAAATGATCTTGATTCATACAAGACTATGAAGGCAGAGGGAGCAAACCCAGCAGCTGAGTTTGCAGGCTCAGCTTGGCTTGCATCCCAGGTCTATCCACACGCGGCTATGACGACCTTGAGCAAGAACTTCGCCTTCCTGCTCTGTCAGCTCAGTGATAACAGTGCAGATCTTCTAGGGGTTTGTGCAGTTTAAATGAAAATGTCTATCTCATTTCATAAAAATAGGACCCGGCACACAGCGCTCACCGAGTATTATTCCCTGCCACTCTCCCTGAGTCCGTGTGCTTCCCATCGTGTGCTAACCAGCCATGGTCATATCGTGCTTTATACGATGTCACTTGTTAAAAAAGATTTTTTTCATTTTCCAAATAAAGAAATATAGTATTGTGCATTCTCAAATACATGCTCCCCACACCCAATGTCCTGATAAAGGCTGATACACACGCAACCTCCTCATAGAGCCCAGTCCCCAGGAAACCTCGGGTCTGGTCCAGTTCCTTCCATTTGGAGACAGTTACACCAGGGCCCAGGAGGCACCCTGCCACACAGCCGGGCAGCGGCCGAGCAGAGAACCAAACAGTTACTTGGCTGCTGGTCCCTGACCCAGAGCTCGTGTCCACACCCCCAAATCCCAGCTCAGTAAAGAGTCAATTTACTGACCGAAGGCAAACAAGATCAAGGCCACGTGATGAGGCCACACATAAAATTCCGGTAATACAGGTAAAAGACACTAAAAGCCAAGATTAGATTTTTTTAATACTCCCCCTCCAAGAAAATCCAAGCACTTTACCATTTTTAATGGAAATAATGTTTTTAAGACTCAAGACTGCATTTAGAATTAATGATCCCAGGCTTACCTATGTCTCAAATTTCCAAGTGTAATTTTTAGGGGGGAAAAATGATATAATATCTCATAAAGTAGAAGAAACCAAAAAAATTTTTATGTTCCACCAGAAAGCCCAGGACCACTGAAAACCTTATGCTAGTAAAATCACATTAACAAAAATTACAGGCTTTCATCACCAATTCTTTCAGAAAATATCCATTTTAAAGGAAATAAAAACATTTCTCTTATGTCTACCCTCCTCCATTTAAAACATTTACCTAAGGAAAATGACCGGACAAAGAGCTGAGCCAACAAATGGAAATGAGTCAAAAACTCACGGTCAGTGATTCAGGTAAGAAAGGGGTTGACTCGCCTGCTCCTGGAAGCAAAAGCTTTCTAGACTCCGAGCTCAGTCACTCACTTCAAGGCAATTGTTAAAGTCGCAAATCAAGAACAGCTCCTCCAGGTTCTGCTCCTTCCCCATCTCCTATCATCTCCTGCAGACCTCAGTCAATGAGAAACCTTAGTTCTTCAGTTCTGTAAAGGATCCTTAACTGAGGGAACTAGCATCACTAATTTGGAGATCCACAGACTTTAATATCCACCGAGGGACACCAAGAACAGAGAAGACAGGGATTATGCGGGTGGCCTTGGAGGAGGGCCTGCCTGTTGGCAGCAGATTCTATTTTCACCCTGAGTTTGTGTCCCCACCATGCCGGGAAAGAGGGCTGTGTGTGGACGGGGTTCACACTCAGGGAACCCAGGCTTGAGTTCCAGTTCCGTCAGCTATCGATATATGACCTCGGGCTGGTCAGTCTTCCTTTGTATAATCAGAATTAAATATAATCATGGAGGCTAAAGGGGTTGATCCATGAAGCCCAAAGTCTGAAGTTGGAGAAGTTAATGTACCAAAAATTGAACTCGTCCCTCCAAATCCATCCTTCTTATTGTCATCAAAATAATCCCACTGAAACAGGGTTAGCAGACTTTTAGAAAGGGCTTGATGGCAGGTATTTTCAGCTCTGTGGGCCACAGTCTCTGGGACAATGACTCAGCTCTGATGGTGCAGCCTGAAATCAGCCACAGACAGTGCACAGACCAATGGGTAGGTCTGTGGTCCAATAAAACTTTACTTACAAAATCCGGTAGAGGGCCGGGCTGTGTCCACAAGCCATGGTTGGCCCATCCCTGATCTAAGGAGTTGCCATGTCTCTGAGACTCATCGTTTATCCCCCAGGGAGAACAGGTCAGCAGCGTTGTTCTCATCACACAGATGGACAGCATTTGTAGGAAATTCGCTGTCAGATCTGAAGTCCACAGCTGCCGAGGAAGCAGGTGCCATGGAGGCCGTAGAAGAGCCTCAGCAGTAGCCCACCGATGAGCCTTCGTTATCCAGGAAGAACTCAGAGTTACTGCACATCTTCTTCCTCCCCGTCCTCTGTGCTGGACTTGCTTCCATCCTGGGTCCTGTTCATTTCACATCTAGGCTTGTTCTCTCTGTTCTGTCCCCTCTTCAAAGCACCAAAGTAATGTTTTTAAGACCGCACCTGAACACGTTACTCCCCCACTTAATATTCTTCACATCTTCCCCTTAGCCTTCCAAGGAAACAGTCTAAGCAAGACTCAGGCAGCTCTTCATACCTGGCCCTGCCCGGCCCTTCATCGTCCTCCCCTATCCTGCCCCCACCCGCCTCCTGCAATCCAGCCATGCCGGCCTCTCTGACAGTCTCCCAGATGCGCAGCGTTTAGACAGCCAAAACTTCCCACCCTTTGCTCCCTCTGCTTGGAGAAACATGTCCCTCAAATGTCACTGCGATGGTGACCTACCTTTCAGGTCTCAGTTCGGGCAAGCCCTCCCCTACAAATCCTTTCCTAAGCCATCCGTTTACAGTCCGGACTCACAGTCCCTCATCTCCGCTCCCACAGAGCACTGCAGTTAACCTTTCTCGTGGCAACCTACCACATTGGGCTTTACTTGTAGGTTCCCGAGGGGCCTCTCCGTTGAACTGGGAGCGCCTTTCTGACAGGAATGACATGTGCATTCAGCACTGTATCCCCCAAGAGACTGGCATATACTAGATGCTCAATAAAAGCTTGTTGAATAAATTGAAGGAATAAACAACGGGTCAAATCATTTTTAAGAACCCAATACAAGCACAATCTCCAAAAATTGGAGAACCTGGCGTCTGTCCTTAAATGCATTTATGAGCACAGTTAGAGAACAAAAACTCAGATCAGTTCTACTGAACGATATGCTCTGCAGATTGTCCTCGCTAATCAAGGCCTACTCTCTGGTATATCAATTACTCACTCCAAAGAGGTGGACAAAACAGAGTACTATTATAATACAGGACTATCTGTGACTTAATTATAAGGTTTAAATAAATTAAAATATGGGACACACCTGGAATAGTGCCTGGCACTTACGAAGTACTATGTGCATGTTTGTTAAATAATTATATAAACAAACAACAAACTCCATTTTACTCCGTTAGCCCCAGAAACATAAACCCAGGAATTTTCAAGCTGCATATCCTGAAACAGAAGTATTCATGGTAAAATCTGAGAGCACTGAGCTACTCAAGAGCTCCAAACACAGACAAAAGAAAGGAAAGGAGAAAGGTTCTAGAAACCATGGACTCAAAAGGAGTGAATCTACAGAAAACAGCATCCAGAAAGACCACAGCATCTGAAATGCCATGGGAAAGCAACAATCTTAACCTTCTCTTCAAAATATCTGCTCTACATGTCAGATACCACTGATTGACTCACACTCCTCCAGCCCCCACTAGAATGACTTCCTGCAGGTCAGACGTTGAAAGCAGAAAACTACATTTCCCAGAATCCCGGGCAGCTAGCATATCTGCATATGACCTTGCTTCTGGTGAACACACAGGAAGAATCTGAAGGTGCAAGAACATAGAAATGTGCGCAGTGAGGCCCTTTTGAAAGCATGGTCGCAGAGGCCCT